CATCCATTGAGATATGTGACATCCTAACAATGAAATATGAGTATTGGAATGGCAGTTTCATGACTATATTGTCTGGAATGGAACCAAAGTTTTTTCTAACCAGTGGTAAAATACATTATTTTGTAAGGAAACACAATGTTGCAAACCCACAGAGAAATTCTGTGTTGGTATTATATATTTAAGCTGTCCAGTTTATATGATAAATTGCATAACTTTTTAATGCAATTAGCAATCAGTTTTTCTTTGCTGTACATTAGATTTGGAGACAGGAGTCCTTGTAGTTTAAATGTTTGAAAGTTTGGAATAACCAAATGTAATATGTCCACAGTCAATAAAATTGAAGCAAAAAAGACTAAGCAAACTAACCATAATCACAGAATAAGCCGCCACTTAATTTCTAAATTCACCTATCATTGGAAAACCTGAAAGATCACATTAGAACTGATAATTAGGGAGAAAATCTACCTGGTTGCTAAGAATCCATACTGATTTCATGGTACATAATCAATTATTACTAAATGCACTTACAGGATTGATGTAAAAGAGTTCCTCCAACTGGCTTTCATACAGATTTTTGCAACTAAAGAACTTTTCAGTCTGCAAGGCACATCACTCCAAGGGCCAAGATGTAATACATTTGCCATTAAGCTTGGGGATGATGGCCTATAAATAGTTTCATAAAGCATCTAAGAATGCTGCCTTTATTTAAAATGCTCTAACTTGTATATAGATAGTCCTCAATGTATGACCACAACTGAACCCAATTTTTTTGTTGCAGTCGTTAAGTGAATCTGGCTTCCTCTATTGACTTGGCTTATCAGAAGCCACCTGGGAAGATTACAAATAGTGATCACATGACTCTGGGACAGTCCAACTGTCATAAATACATGTCAGTTGCCAAGTGCATAAATTTTGATCATGTGACTATGGGGATACTGCAGTGGTTGTAAGTGTGAAAATCCGTCATATGTCACTTGTTTCAGTGCTGTTGTAACCTTGAATAGTCACCAAACAAACTGTTGTAAGTCAGGAACTACCTGTAGCACACATTTAGAAGGCCAGTGGGAAACAGACAAGTGTGTGATAATTTTATCTTGGTTTCCATGGCTATTAGGCAATTAAAATGAGTTTTGTACAATGTTTGTCCAGAATGTACTTAGATTTCCAAGAGATGTTGGAAAATACAGAAGGGATACCTTCCAGTAACAATGTTTAAAAAGATTAGCTACATAAAGCTATGTGTAACAAAGTTTTCAACTTTATTTACAATTTTTCATATTACAAAGCTGTTATGGTGCAGTCTAGAAATTTAGATTTAAGAAACAAAGCCTCTTCATTTTAGTGCCATCTAGAACTGGCATGAAACACTATTACACTGTTTCTTGTCATTTATTGATTGAGAGTTCATTAATAATTAAATAGATCAGAGAAGGGGAAGGAAAAATTACAAACATAACAGTGTACAAACTACAGAAGATTCTGCTAGGCTATTTTAGTCTATCATTCCCCTTCATTAAAATTTCTGAATTATTTTCTCTTGGTAGGCTTCTCAACTCTCAGAACTGAACTTTAATAAAACTTGTTTTCTTTTCTTTTTCCTTTCTCTTGTATAGGATAATTCTGTTTTTCTCTCCTACAAAAACTGATGCTTTCTTTAATATGTCACTGCTGTCATGTAGCTACTTAATCTAATAATATTTATAATGATCCCAATATTTTTCTCCCCCCCCCCCTAGGCTAAGAGTCTTTTGCTGTTTACTTTGTATAGTGCCTCATTCTTTTCCTTGTCTTTCTTCTGGACCCTCTCCCACTTTTCATTTTTTTTCTTTCTTGACTTGAATGGTTCGGGAATCCTCATCCAGTTTCAATTAATGGATGGGTCTGAATCCACTTTGTTGGCATTCAAAGAGACTGGCAGTTCCACTGGACAGAAAAGCAAGAAAAACTCTTTCCTGCCATTCCTCCCCATTTAGCTTTCTCTTTTGTCTGATTGGCATGATATATAACATTAGGCCATAGCCACCTCGCCATTTTATTTTTATTTGATTTTTTGTTCCATCTTTCTTATTGTTTTTATAAATAACTCAAGGTAGCAAACACACCTAATGCTCCTTCCTCCTCCTATTTTCCCCACAACAGTAACTTGGTGGGGTGAAGTGGGCTGAAAGAGACTACCTGTAACTGGTCCAAAGTCACCCAGCTGGTTTTTCATGCCCAAGGTGGGACTTGAATGATTTCCTAGTTTCTAGGCCTCTGAAAGATTGTAAATCTAATTACAGCCCACTTTAAAATAACTCCTACTGAAATCAAATATACTTATGTCTAAAAAAATATTTTAGAAAAAAAGCCAGGGCTGGCCAGACAAACAGTTCTGAATCTTGAAACAGGATGCTTCTCAGTAAGATACAAAAAGTCTTCCTCTTTCACAATATTTCACAAGGAAGTCTAGATATTTACTGTCCCTATTTCTACCATACCGCAACACCATCATGGCTGCACAGCCTCCATCTTCCCTCTTGGTTACAGGATGTTGTCTAGTCTCATCCCCTAGTACAGGAGTCTCCAACCCCCAACCCCCTGGCCATGGACCGCTACCAGGATGTGACCGGTCTGGAAGTGGGCCGTGTGTGTGGTGCACATGCACGCACCAGCCCACTGCTTGCACAATCCAGTTCCCCTCCCCCAACTGGTCAGGCCTCCAAACCATAAAAGTTGGGGACTACTGCCCTAGGTGAGCAACAAACCAGCTTTAAATCATCATTAAGGCTGCAGAAATGAGTTATTTTTCTTCCATTAGATTTACCGTGCCCCATCACAGGTTCAATGTATGTAAAATCCCTATCTGTTTATCACCCACTATATTGAAGGTGAATTCAGGTGACTTGTCATGAGTGTGACCAGCATGGCTCCTCTCTCATCATCTCTTCAGCCATTTTCTCCTTACTTTTCCTATTATAGCACTCTGCTTCCGGATTTTCTTTGAAACTTGCTCTATCATATTTCTTTGTACAATTCCATTTTACCAATGTTCAGAAATGATATCGGTAGACCAAGGGCACCATCTATCTTTAGTTGCAGCAGTTCTACCTTTCCTTATTGCAGCCCCTAGAAAATAATGATGATGAATTTTCCAATCCTTTAAAATTAAGGTGTATAGCTTCCCAGGGTCTAGTCAGTTCCAACAATCCTACCCTATATATATTACCTGATTGCAGAGTCATTGCCTGCTCCCCTTCCCTACTATCTGTAGCTATTTCTGTTTTGATGTCCTCCTATATCAGTGGTGGCGAACCTATGGTACGGGTGCCAGAGGCGGCACTCGGAGCCCTCTCTGTGGGCACATGTGCCATTGCCCCAGCCTTGCCTCTCCCCACGACCCCCTCCTCTCCAGCAGCCCCCCTGAAGGAGAGTCGCCCCAAGCATGGCCCACACGGAGCAGCGCAGCCAAGAACATGGCAGCCAGGCAGTGTAGACAAGACTCTGCCCTCACACCCCATCATGCACTTGATGCTGCAGGGCGCGGGCAGAGGGTGTGGCCACCATAGCGCTGCTGGGCTGCCTGGGCGATCTGTGGCGGACCCTGGAGGTGGTGAGTGGTCCTGTGAGCAGGTGGGGTGGGGGATGGGGGGTGCAGAGTGGGGGTGGGGCAGGGGGGTGGAGTGGGGACGGGACCAGTTTTTGGGCACTCGGTCTCTAAAAGGTTTGCCATCACTGTCCTATATGTTTCTTTCACACTATTTTAATTTGGAAAGATAGTCAATAGCTGTTTGGGAGGAAAAGATATATTGATCTAGAGAACTGTGAAATCAGAGTCGCACAATTTGTACTGTACTGTTCCATGTTCTTTCTGCTAGCAGCGATGTGCAGGAGATAAGAACAAAGGAGAAAGAGAGAAGTAGAAAAACCTGTCAAGATGACACCACTTGGCAGTGGCTTGAAATGAATGTAATAGAGGGAACAAAGGTAGCAAAGGGAACAACAGATTTTATGACAATATTGTTTTATGGTCACTGAAGGAGAAATGGGCAGTACTTTAATAGGAAAAGGCTCAGTGGTGTCTTTTACTAATCTTTGCACTGTTTTCCTTTGGCTTCTGTACACACAGAACTTTTAAAAAGACCTCTAAAAAGTGCTTAGAAGAATAACTATGTGTGCCTTCAGGCAATACAGAAGCTATAATCTGGCTAAAAAGAAGTTTTAGATGATGTGTCATTGTTTTCTACCTCTAGCAACCACATGTTCTCCACGATGGTATTTTAGGTCTTCCAACGTTGCACTCATCCCCACCCTAACTAAATCCATCCAAGTTGCTGCTGCTCATCCTCTTTTCTGTCCTTCCATCTTTCCAGCATTAGAGCCTTTTCCAAGGAGCTTAGGCTTTTTTGTTCTAAGACAAAACCTTTATTATATGGTTTTCTTAAATTTTATTCCAAACGATTATTTTAGATTCAAACAGATCTTTCAAATAATGAATTTAGCAGAACGAATTGCTTGCTAGTTGGCCCAGAGAACTTGAAAGCAAAAGTGTCATTTTTCTTTCTTTCTTGGGTAAGATTACAATTTTTTCAACAGAGCCCTCAGCACAGAGTATTGTGTAAAAACAGCTGAAAAAGGAAAAGCAACCCGCATTTCAGATAAGATCAAGGATGTTAAGATGAACTATTACTATTAGTAGTTATCCGTTTGCTATCGCTGTGGTCTGTTCCCCAAATATGCTTTTGTGTATATACTGGGTGGAATTAAAAGCGAGGGAACAGTACCGTCTTACGTGAGAGTAAGAGCAAGCGAACGCAGCAAAACAACACTTGCAAAACCACTATTTTCCACAACCCCGCACCTCCACCGAAAAGAAAAGAAAGCTCGCGAGACTTGTATATAAGGCCTGGGTTGGGGACTGACATCTTCTTAGACCATCAGTTGCAAAGGACCATTCAAGCAAAGATTGTCAATTGGTGACTTATGCGGCTTGTCTTGGCCAATGGCAGCGCGAGTAAGTGAAGGGAGGCGGGTACTCCCAGCCTAGCCGGGGAGGCTCGTGGTGCCTGAAGTCAACTATTGCCCTGGGAGGGGTTTTTTCTCCTGCACGGCATCCAGAAGGTAGTCTCTCGGGTGACGGCGACGTTAACTGCGAGCGGGGTTTCCGTCGCAACTGCGCACGCTGGAGTCCCGGTGCGGGAGCGGCGATTCTGCGGTCCAAGGTGAGCGTCGTGAAGGAGAGGACGGAGTAGCGCCCCAATGTAGCTGTTTCTACTCCGGGCTGTGGTGGTGATGTGTGTGTGTGTGGGGGGGGGGTTTGCATTCACCTGAGGGAGCGATGCTGGCTACGGAGGCCTTGGAATGACTTGGCGGAGGTTGGAGAGAAGCTTGCAGGGCATCTGCCCCGAATGACAGCCTCGGGTGATGGTTGCAACCGGGGCGGGTGGCAAATATGAGGGACAGAGGGAAAGGGGGGGGGGCTACAGGCCGGGTGGTAGTCCTGGCCGCGGTAGCTTCTTCGGGCTTGCCGTGAGAACGTCCGCGGATCGACTTTGGAGTAAATATACCGCTCACTGTGGCAGTTCGGGTTTTTTCTTCTTCTTTCACGCGTTCGGATAGATACAGGTAGGAAAGAGAAGAGGCGGGAAGTAAGCAGTGGGAGGACGGTCGGAGGTTATGAGGGGGAGCTGCGTGTCTGCTTGCCAGTGAGGGCGCGCGGGAAACTCGCGTGCCGTGGGACTGCTGCTCCTCCGTTGCTGTGCTTCAGAGGAAGGGCGGGCTGGCGCCGAGTCTGCTGTATATCCGACTGTGCGACATGTGGGACTTCCCCTCCAAAAGATGGGTGATAGCGGGGAGATATTTTAGTGGTGTGTAGCCTGGGAAATGGCAGTCTTGTCAGTGGGATGTCACCCCTTCCCCTTTCCACACAAGCAGGTTTAGGAGAGAGTGTTGCTGTGGATCTGTATAAAATCTGTGTAAAATATGGAAAACCGAGGTGGAATTACACTCGCGGCCTCAAGAAAGCGGCTATATTAAGTTCTTGGGTACGGAAACGTGAAGAAATAGGTGTGGTTGAGACAGTCACTTTCTGTAAGTGCAAGAGCAAAACTTCAAATCAGTATAAACAGAGTAAAACCATTTAATGAAAAATACTTGCGAATTATGTAGCCAGGATTTAGATTATTTTTGCTCTGCATTTTCACCTAAAAGTAGCTAAAAGGAGTACCTTAGCTACTTAAGGTATCCATTACTTTGCTTGATAATACACTGTCTGAAAATGTTAGTTGTCCATCTTCCTGATGTTCTTGCAGCTCTGTGCCAAAGCTGCCTATTTATTTGTTGCATTTATATATTTGTTTTTTCAGAGTTATCCTGGGCAATTAGCTCAAAGTTACCCAGTAAATTTTGTAGTTGCCCAGTCCTAATTGACCACACTGGCACTTTTTTATAGTTATGTCTGTATAATAGTTTCTAGTGCCTATATTATATTAACTTTATTTGCAGGAGTATGTAACTTATTAAATTAGACCATAACTTTATTCAGGTATAATTTTAATAATAGTAACAAAGAGGTAGAGAGCAGCATAAATAATATGAATAACAATATGATCTCTTTGTCAAAGGACAGTATTCCTAGGCATATAGTGATATCACAAAAATTTCAAAACTAGGTCAGTTGTATGATATTGTGAAGTGCACAATGTCACTTGCTCTTTTATTCTCCTTTAGATATCATATCTTTTTACTTATATACACACAAAGAGACACACTTTTACATACAGTGCATTCAGAAAGTATTCAGATGCCCTTCACTTTTGTACTCATTGTACTCCATAATGAGTGTAAATTAAATGTAAACAGAATTTTAGAAATGTCTGTACATTTATTAAAAAGAAAAAACTGAAATATCACATTGGCATAAGTGTTCAGAACCTTCACTCAGTACTTTGTTGAAGCACCTTTGGCAGCAGTTACAGGCTCAAGTCTCTTTGGATATGATGTGACCAGCTTTGCACACCCGGATTGGAGGATTTTCTGCCATTCTTCCTTGCAAATTGTCTCAAACTCAGTCAGGTTGGATGGTGACCGTCATGGACAGCCATTTTCAGGTTCCTCCAGAGATGTTCAATAGGGTTCAAGTCAGGGCTCTGGATGGACTCCTGTGTTGTCTTGGCTGTGTGCTTAGGATCGTTGTCATATTGGAAAGTGAACCTTCTGCCCAGTCTGAAGTCCTGAGCATTGTGGAACAGGTTTTCACTGAGGATATCCCTGCACTTTGCTCCATTCAGCTTTCCCTCACCCCTGACCAGTCTCCCAGTTCCTACTGCTGAAAAACACCCCCAGAGCATGATGCTGCTGTCACCATGCTTCACTGTTGGGATGGTATTGGGCAGATGATGAGTGGTGCCTGGTTTCCTCCAGACATAAGGTTTAGAATTGAGGCCAAACAGTTCAATATTGGTTTCATCAGACCAGAAAATTTTGTTCCTCACAGTCTGAGAGTCCTTCAGGTGCTTTTTTGCAAACTTCAAGTGGGCTTTCATGTATTTTTCACTGAGGAGAGTCTTCCATTTAGCCACTCTGTCATAAAGCCCAGATTGGTGGAGGGCTGCAGTGATAGTTGTCCTTCTGGAACCCTGTCCCACCTCTACACAGTATCTCTGGAGCTCAGTCAGAGTGACCATTGGGTTCTTGGTCACCTTTCTGGCTAAGGCCCTTCTGCTCCGATTGCTCAGTTTGACCAGGCAACCAGGTCTTGGAAGAAGTCTGGTTGTGCCAAACTTCTTCCATTTGAGATTTATGGAGGCCACTATGCTCTTAGGAACCTTCAATGCAGCAGAAATTTTATTGTAGCCTTCCCCAGATCTGTGCCTTGCAATAATCCTGTCTCTGAGCTCTGCAGGCAGTTCCTTTGACCTCATGGCTTTTGCTGTGCTACAGTATGCATTGTCAGCTGTGAGGCCTTCTATAGAGAGATGTGTGCCTTTCCAAATCATGTCCAATCAATTTAATTTATCATAGGTCAACTCCAATCAATGTCAGCAACAATCAAGAGAACTGGGAGCACCTGAGCTAAATTTCATATGTTGCAAAGGGTCTGAATACTTATGCCAATGTGATATTTCAATTTTTTCCTTTTAATAAATTTACAGACTTTTCTAAAATTCTGTTTTCACTTTGCCTTTATGGGGTACTGAGTGTAGATTAATGAGAAAAAATGAATTTCAACAACTGTAGATCTGTAGCACAGGCTGCAGCATAACAAAATTGATAAAAGTGAAGGGGGTCTGAATACTTTCTGAATGCACTGTATATAAAATAATTCCTGATGCCTGTATTGTATTAACTTTCTTGTAGAAGTATGCAGTTCATTAAACTATAAATTTATTCCGACATTATATATAACTGACAGACAAACACACCTATGAATAAAGACAAGGTTGTAATATGTTTGAGTGCTATTGGTTTTTAAAAAGACACTTTAAAGACAGTTTTTTAAAAAAAACACCGACTATGTAAATAGACGGAAGCCACCATAATAGGGGTTGTTTGCATTTGAGAACTAATCCAGCACATTCCTTCATGGTAGTTCTAGTAGAGATGTAACACTAAAAGCTCAGTCAGAAGGGTTTGTCTTAGATTAAGAATATTAAACTCAAGCCTCTGTTACATTGTTCTTGTGCTACACTTTCCATTCCACTCCAATGCTACTTTAGATTGCAGTTCTAAACTTTATTTGGACCCTGTTGAATACAATGGCATTACTAAATTATCCTGAATAATTGGATCTTGTTTACATAAAAACACCTGTGCACTATATGTATTTGGAATGTAATATACTTTTAGTCTTTATAATAAGATAAAATAAAATAACCTTTATTGTCATTTTTTTCCTGTGAACCCACTGGCACACATTAAAAAATGAAATTCTGATGCCTGCTTTCAAAAGAAAAGAATATGTTATTTAATAATACTGGTCCAGGTTGTTTTTTTTTTGCAGGAAGTGGGAGAAAAGCTTAAATACATGAAAGACAAACTTCAGCACTATTGACCTTGTAGGAGGACAGTTGTGTTAGTCTATGGTGGTTAAAACACATCAGAATTCTGATAGCACCTTTTCTGAGTAAAAAGTTTTGTTAAAAGGCATACATTACTGAACAAATGGCATTGCAGTTCTTGAAAGCATATGCCTTTTAATAAAATTTAATAATCAGAAAAGATGCTACCAGACTCCTTTGGATGTTTTTCAACACTATTTCCCCCCCCCCAAATTTTATTAAATGTACATTTAAAAACAGAAATGGACATGATTCAACTTCCCTGGCTACAACACTGCTATTAGTATTACCTTATGTTACAGAAAGAAAAACAGAAACTTAAAATACATTCTATAACAGGACAGAGTATAACAAACTGTACATATAACATCTGTAAATTTTTTGGTAAACCATCTTTCAGTCGTCAACGTTGTATTTACCGGTACATATCTTTCAGTTGTGTCCTAATATAGGTGTTAATAAGAAATCCTTACGATATCAATAAGAAATCCTTACGATATCAACTAATCAATTGATAATCATCTGAGCGATCCTCCTTATCTCTAACCAATGGTACAAATTTTTCCAAATTTCATAATACTCTGTTTCAGTTTTATTTTTAATCTCTAGAGTTAACCTGTCCATTTCAGCGCAGGATAAGATTTTATTTATTATTTCTTCTTCAGTGGGGGTTTCCTTTCTTTTCCATTTTTGGGCATATGCCAATCTTGCTGTGGTTAAAATATGCAATAGTAAGTAGAAAGATGCTTTGCTTTATCATTAATAATCCCTAATAAGAAGGTTTCTGGTTTTAAATCATTTTTTTGTAATAGTATTTCTTCCAGCCAATTTTTTATCTGATGCCAAATTTTTTGCGCTTTTGAACATTCCCACCACATGTGATAGTAAGCCCCTGGAAGCCTTCTACATTTCCAGCATGTCGGTGAGGTTTTTTAATCTATTTTTGCTAGCCTTATAGGGGGAAGGTGCCATCTATAAAACATCTTGTATAGATTTTCTTTATATGAGGTGGCTTCTAATAATCTTTTCCTTGTTTTCAGGTCTCCATTCTCGTCTAAGATATCTTATATGTGATGATGTTTTTCAACACTATTAACCCCATTGAGTTAAAATATGTATCTATGGGAAAAAACATATTCCTTGCCCTGTAGTATTACAACCAG